CAAACGGTGCATTCAATTAATTTAATGTGTAGTAATTGCAATGCACATACAGACGGTAATGCTTTACTGTGTGTTAATTAGTCTAATGAGCAGTAAAGTGTCTCATTTCATGTAGATGCACCCATAGAATAGTGGAAGACACTTCAGGAAGTCATTAAGCACAACTCCCTTCTCATTTAGCTATTCAAAAATTAAGCCTATCTTATTTCCCCATTTCATAAGAATGTGGACATCCACAATCCTTGCACAACCCATATAAAAGCATTACTGCATCCCCTGTGTTCCAGAGAATCATAAGAATGGGAGCCCTGGGAGTCACTGTCTACATGTCTAGAGAGCTGACAGCTGGCAAGGATAAATGCATATATTTATACATATATGCGCATGTTCATTCACTGTTATGATGTACCCTCACAAATAGTGTTGCAAATCATTCCACTGTAACTGCAGCTCAACTAGGGATTGCTCTACAGCTTCCAATACAACAACATACTACTAAACCACCCTATATCTGAATGACATTTAGTCACTTAATCTTTGGTACAAAATTCTGAGTAGCTGACTTTCAATCAGAGTAAGCCATAATCAGCTACTTTAACATGGAGAAAAACAGGAGGTACACAATGCTTATAAACCTACATTAAAACCATTAAACATAGCTATTTTAGGACTCATTCGCAACTAATTACCTGTCAACTTACAGACTTTATAAATGTATATTATATGCTACCATTTAATTATCAAAATCTCAAAGAACACAGAAGGTATAGCACAAAGCAGTCCAACTGGCAACCAGTCCCTGAGGAGGCTCCTTGGCTCCTGGTCTGGGTGTTGCTCCCCCTGAACCCGCATTGCTTTTTTGCTGCTGCTGCCACCACTGAAGTCTCAGGACAGGGTAGCCCGGAAGGCCAAGGGAGCTCAGGGGACCTGGGAAGCTCAGCATGGTACAATGAGACAAGACTCACTGCATGGTGCAGTAAAGAACGGAGAAGCCCATGTGGGATTGAGATGTGCAGGGCATAGCACCACTGGTGCAGTGTCGTGGGGCACCTGCTACATGGCATGGGGCCCAGGAGGCCTGCAGCTCCTGGCCACTCAGAAATAAGACAGCTCTGGCATAAACTACAATGATAACTAAAATAGAGATTTTGATATACTAACCTACATGTTTAATAACACTATGTATTATTGCTGAATATCTAATTTAGGTCCTTGATTAAATTTTAAAACTAGTTATTTTCTTCAACAAGACACTATTTTCGTTTATTAAACATTGTCTTTGTCACAGTCAATCATCATTACAGGAATTCTTAAGGTTAAAAAGGGATCAATAAAAAATAGGAAGTGCATGCATTAACCCTCTTAAGTATACCACCTGCTGTATTTGGTTATAAACAGGACAGATTCCTACATTTCACAAACTACCCTAATTATTGTCTAAATTTCCTTTATTTTGAACTTGTGGATATTATAAAGCTCCACTAATGCTAACAAATCATTGTTTCCATAGTTACTCAAGCGGAAAAAGCAAAGAGAAACTATAAATAGTGCAAGGTCTGACGAGTCTATGGCATCAACCAAATGTGAGTTATGCAATACGTTAAAGTGTTGAAAAGAACTACTTAACTCATTTTCAACTTTGCCATCCTTGATTAATATACTCTTCTCTCAAGCACAGCAATTAGAATCTTTGTACCATCTCGAACAATTGGGCATTTTTTCTATACATAATGTATATCTTATACCAAAATATACATTTTATACCTTTCAAAAAACTCACTAAAGTATAGGATGGAAAAAACAAAACAATAACCCTCCCCTCGTTCCACAAGAACAACAAAAACCCAAGACAAACTTACTATATGTTGCAAATCTTCATATTAAGACCAACCAAAATCAACCATAAAACCATTTGGCTGAAATTTTTAGAAGATAACTGAGCCTACAGGCTTTAGAACTTTATTGAGGCGAAATTACTGCAAAAATACTATTTCCAATTTACATTATGATTGTTATAAAAGTCCAGAGTCTCCTCTACAGATACAGAAGGGCAACCCTCAAGTGTTCAGTAAACACAGCAATACCTCCAATTAAGCTGAAGAACTGAGGAATTTTTCTTCCATAGTTTGAAGAAAAGCACTGAGTAGTTCTCCAAAAGGAAACCATGCTTATATCTGCAGCTGTCATATTTTTATGTAATGAAAACTTCCCATGCTCTTTTGTTCCCAGTAATTACAATGACAAGACTAAACAAAATGCTACAGATCCCAATATATCAAATATACTCCAAATATTAAATTATTTCTATTTGCTTTTAGTGTCCCTTCATCTCCATACCTCCTCTTCCAGAAATTGCTGAAAAGCTGAACAGGCATTTTTGATCTACCTTTCAGTCTAGTTAGGGACCAAATCAAATGTCAAAAAATTATAAGGACATTTGAAAGCATGTTATGTTTGTATTTCTCCCCTCATTTATTTTGTGGTAATATTTTCTCCCATTCTAACATTGCAGAAAGAATCTACCATTCTACCATTACAGAACTGTAATTCTGGGTTTTGAATCCTATTTTCATATTATTTGTGATACTTTGCTAGAATTTTCAAAACTGCACATTTTACATTCTTCATTTAGCATGTAATCCTTTTTGGTTTCTGTTTATTTTATAACACAAAACTGTTTTGTTAGTTTGTAAACCAGCCTTATTGATAATGTTTTGGGTACAGAATCTGAGAGCTCATTTATTTGTACTTTTCTGAGATGAATGCGTAGCAAAGCTCAAAACAACATAAACCATGTCTACAAAAAATATGAAGAATGCCTTACATTCAAAAGCTTGTCTAACTCCAGTCCAACTATGCAGCTGGTGTAATAAAAGCAAGAACCCTCAGCCTAGGCTTGGGGAGGTTGGGGAAGGTTAGATCATGTGAAAAATGGCCACCCAAACTAAATTAGATCACCCGGGTGAAGATCTTACACTTAGATCCCTACTTAGGTTGATCTAAGTGTGAACTGTACAAAAATTCAGGAAGTTTAAATTGGTCTAAAAATGGCCAACCTGATCCAAACTCAACATTGGAGTAAGTCTAACTTAGATTGGATCCTGTGAGACTGATTTAATCTGTACATTTCCTAGTGTAGCCCCAGGACTGGAAAAGCCCAATTGCTGGCCCCAGCCCTGGGTTCTTCCTACCCTACCACCACAGACTGGCTGTTTTTAGCCCCCTTGGCCCTTGGCCCTGCTCCTACACAGACAACCCCCACAACCAATGGACCACCCACCTTCTCCCCGGAGCCGATCAAACCCCGCCATCCTGCAAGCTGCTCCCAGAGCTGGTTTTACCAGCATTTGCCAATGCTGGGAACTGATAGAACTTGGGGGAAGGAAGAGGTGGGCAGCTCAAGGGGGTTAATTCACTAGGGGGTGCTTGTTCATCTGGGGGTGGTAGGGATCAGGAGGCTACAATAGCTCCTGGCCCTGGAGGGGGGCAGGGAAGAGAGAGCCCCCCCACCAACCAAACTCCCCTGCAGAGCCACCAGCTTCCCCCCACCCCAACTTACTTCCATCAGGCTCTCAGGGCAAATGAATACTGATAAAACCATCCCTGGGAGCAGTTTGTGGAATTGCGGGAAATTTAGCAGCACTGGGGAGGCTGGAGGGGTCCAGGGTTGGGAGGGGCCTTTGGCAGAATCGTAGAGCCTCTCTGACTGCCAATCCCCCTATCCCCGCCAACCTCTCTGCAGACCCTGCCACCCCCTGGATCACTCCCCCAATTTCCTGAAGACCTGCTTGCTCCCCTGATTTCCCAACCTCCTCACAGACCCTGTCAACACTCTGATCCTCCCCATGTACCCTGCTTGCTCCCTGATCCTCTCTAAGTTCCCTGTGGATTCTGCTTGGCCACCTAATCTCCCCACCCTGACATGGACTCCAACTGCCCCCTTAGAATTCTCTGCCAATTCCCCCATCCTGACTTACCTTAGATTGGGTGGCCATGTTTAACACAATCTAACATCCCCCTAACCTCCCTGAATGTTTTCCCCTAACCTCACCAACTATTGTAATGTTTTCTAAATTCTATTCAGAACTTGTAGAACCCTCCCTGGACCAGATAAATATAAATCCTTTACTTGATCTATCTGATACACAAGAAATTCATGCCTGGCTAAGTACATGAAATATTCCCAATCTACTTAAGTGGAGTTACAATAGGTATGAAATTAGTTGATGGCCCAGAACATAGGTACAAAATTTTTATATTACAGTTAAGAGCCTGGTCATATTTGTAAATGACACTTTCCCCATAAAGGAATCAACATCATGCTTTTGATGCTTTGCCCCCTAGAAGTGAGTCATATGTGCCATGGTAGAAAGTTAAACATTTAGGATGAAAAAGTGGGTGCAGATCTTTTATTGCCTTACAGATACTGATTACAGGAAGCTCTAGAGGGTTGGAAAAAAAGCAAGTGTATTGCTATAAAGTGAAAGGCTGCCTATCTGAAATACTGTGGGGAAAGTTGTCAACAGTAAATAGTTGATATACTAAAGTACAGGATTCCTGATTCTATCCTATTATCATGTTTTTACATATCAGTGAGTTTCCCCTAAGACAGAAAATGCAAACATACTAGAAATTCTTTTTAGGTTATGCATGTATATTAATTTAAGAGATTAATCTAAGTGGCTAGTTAGTTTCTTTAATTGTGACATGAACTCTTGTCACCATTTAAACCAAGTTCATTATTTAAAACATTTTTCAGAGAGCAATTCTTATTGGCAATGAAATAGGCAAACTGAAAGCAGTAGTTACCGTTACTCAACTGAATAACAAAAAAGCCTGAAACTAAAGTTAGTAATTATTGCCTTCACAACACAGAATTACTGTTATTAAAAAACGTAGCTTCTCTTCTAGTTTCCCATAAGCACTTCAATATATTTAATGTTTTAGCTAGGCCTTCAAGTAGGCAGAATAGCAGCACAGAAAATAAATATTTTCCTTACCTGTGTATACAGTTATTAGATTCGAGATATGCCATACCAGAAGCAGCATCTAACGAAAATTTCACTAACTGTTTGATTTTTAGCTCATCTTTCTTCTTTCTTAAAAAGGAAAGGAAATCACCTCCTAGAAAAATAGACAGATGGACAATAAGACATGACAGCAATGATACCCACATCTCTCTCATTAGGAATGCTTCACTGAACAAAAAGTATTACACTATCAGCTATACTTTTCAACTAATTTGTCTAAGGCTAGGATAAAAAAAAATAGAATACATTCCCATCAGTGTGAGGTCTCCTTTAGCTACCCTAAATACTGATCGAAGTGTCCCTAAGTGAAAACTGCACAAAGCATGACAAGATTTAATCAAGACCATATTTTTATTACACGGTACATCAGATTTTCCTCTGTTTGTATTCAATATATACTTGAACAACAGTGAATTATGGACTAAAACAGCTTATTTGAACAGGATGAGATAAGAAGAAGCTTTAAGTTCTTCATGTTAGCTGCAATGGTTTATTGAAAACTGTAAATATGCAAAAGGTGATTTGAAGATTTAAGATCCTTAAGAAATTATTCTTACTGGTGATTTAGAATGAAGTAACCAAGAGGAAATCCAAGTCCTAACAGACTTCTATAGGCTGCATTAGAACTTGAATTAAAGATCCCTTTCTAGAGGGAGACTCACTGAGACAGACAACGTCAGCAATTATAATACTGTATTTACTCAAATATAAGAGGACCCTGAATACAAGACCCCCCCCAATAATTATATTCTATACATGAAAAATGTATACTTTTGTTATAATTTTCCAGGTATAGAAGCTAATTATTGGAGGTTTGCCTTCAATTTGCCCTCCTCCCACTGCTACAGCAGGGAAAATAAATTGGGAGGGAGGGGGTCAGGTAGCCCCCCTGTCCTTCACTTGTTCCCCCTGCAGCCCTTTCCCCTGTTCCTTGCTGCCAGAACCTGCTTTCTCTGAGCATATGGAAGTGAAGGGCAAATTTGAAAACAATGACCTTGAAATACATATGCCTGTTGTAATTTGCATAAAATTACTACAGGTACACACAGACTTGGTTCATCCAGAATTGATGCAATTTGCCTTTTTTGACACTGCTGCCAGTTTTAGAACAGGTATTCCTTAAGCAGTACTTTTGTCCCTACTTTTATATAATACAGACTAGGGTTGTGTGAAATGGCTGTGTTTCGATTTGATTTCAGATTCAGCCGTTCTGAAGGACAGCGATTCATTTTTGTGTTTTCGATCACTGTCCTGTTTCATTTCGGACGAATCTGTTTTGGAGATTTGGCTCCACCGTATCTCCTATGAATCTGTTTCAAATGGACTGCAAGGCAAGCTTCGCACACGGCTACCCAGCCGGGTGGGGCTTGGGGTCCCAGCAGGGAGCAGGACAGAGCCATGGGTGGCTCATCCGGGGGACGGCTGCTGCCCTCCACAGGTGAGGAGACCCCTGCGCAGATCTCTAATCCCTGTCACATTGGGTCACAGGCCAGAAAAGCAGCGCAGAGTGGCGAGCAAACCTGCTGGTCTCTGCTGCATGACTTAGCTCCACAGGGAGCAGAGATCCACACCACGGGTCTCCTTGCTGCCACTGCCTGCCCTGTGCTGTCTTCGATCTCTGCTCCCTAAGGAGCCAGGTCATGCGGCAGAGACCAGCATTACCCTGCCACATGATCTGGCTCCGCACAGATCCACGCCAGGATATCCTCACTGCCACTGCCCTGGATCTCTGCTCCCTGTGGAGCCAGGTCACGTAGCAGGGACCAGCACTGCCCTGCCACATGCTTTGACTCCACAGGAAGCAGAGATCTGCACTGGCGACGGGGGGGGAGTGTCTCCTTACTGCTGCTGCCCACCCCATACAGCCCCACGTTGCAAGGGGCACCGTGGGGTGGGAAGCAGCAGCAAGGAGATCCCCGGCATGGATCTCTGCTCCCTGTGGAGTCAAGTCACATGGCAGGGCAGCAGCATACAGCTGCAAGCCCGGCTCTCGAACTCCAACATTTTTCAAAACACTTCCAAAATGTTTCAGGTGCTTCGTTTCATTTCTGAGTACGTGTGTATACTCTTCACACTCCTGCAAAGGGTCCGTGTGCTATTTAGCTCCCCGACAGTGTTCTTGTCATGAGTCTTGGGATGCTGCAAAAACGTATATGCAGATGAAGTGCAGGACAACCGAGTGTGCTCCAATTCATGGAGAGCAAGGCCACACTAACCATATGAAACAGGCTGAGAGATGGGGTGACAGAGCAACTCTGGGTGAACTGCTCGGGGCCCTGCGAGATGATGTTTGCCAGATATTTAAGGCTAGTGAAGAATCAGGAATCACTGGAAATGGGAAAGGCAGGCACAGGTCAGATATGGGAGTGAAGAGGAACTCAAAACGTATTCAATGTAGTGGGTCACCATTACTCAAAAAAAAATCAGTGCTGAGGGGGACCAAGTACAATGGGCACTACCATATATCTTACTCAGATAGTCTGCACTAACCTATCCTTGTGGTAGGTTCCCATCAATATGTTTCCCCAATATAGGCCTGGCAGGGGAAATACCATGACCACCAAGGTGGTTTTCCTAATGGCAGGGGAAAACCCCAAATGTGGCAGAGGGTAGTACCCTGACTGAGGTAATGCATAGTTAGCCTCCCACTTTCACTTCCAGTGGGAAGATCTCAGTTACATGCTGACTTTATGGAAATGGGAGACTCCTCCCTAGCTTGCTCCTGAGAGCATACAGCTGAGGGCGAGCAAAACTCCGGGGCATCTGCATCCTAAGCCTTTGGGTTTGGGCCTGCATGTAGGATGCCAGCCAAAGGATTTGGAAGTATTTTAAGCCCCAGGTGGGGGTGGAGAATGTTTGCCCATAGCAGGGCCACGTACGGTTCTTGAAGGACTCACACAGATTTGGAATCGATTTGGCTGATCTGACTTGGGACACAACATTTTTTCCTAAAAAGGTTCCCATCAATATGTTAATCCATTATGGCCATGGGTTTTATAGTCACACTTAAGTTGGCTGCATTTAATCAGCTTCTTAGTTGGTTTTCATTGCTGAGCACATGCTGCTTTTGGCATCAGTTTAATGATGGATAATGTATTTAGTGAGGTTTTTGTGGATGCAAATGTAAGATGAGGAGCTTTTTTTTTCCATGCTGACTTGGAGGAAAAACCTTATATTTGGGTAAATACAGTATGTTTTTTCATAAGATTTATATGCTGTTGTGTGAAGAACCTTCCAGCTTTTGTTTGCTTTTATTCAGAATGTAACTGATTCAAGTGATCCTTTCTCTTAAGTAAAACATAATCTCTCTTAGCAAAGGAAAGAGACATTAGCATATGCTAAATGTTTCAGCTGGGATTTTCTTAGCAGGATATATCCATTTATTTCACATTATAAGAGGTAAAGAGGTTATCAGAGAAAGGCCTTATTAACTGCATACTCTCTCGCCTACTAGCTTGAAGTCCTCAAATAGTAAGATAGAGTGTTTGTGAGAGGGATTAGGGACTTAATTGCAAACTGCTACACTTTTCTCTCACTTTGCCAAGGATCTGGGCTTCTTTTGACACAAAGATGCTGGAGGTGAAGGCTTAATGGGTTGTTCCTAAATGAAAACTCCCAGAAGGTAAATACCTGCTTAACCTCCAATAAAGGTCTGATGTCCTGTCCCCACCCCCCACGCTTTTCTTGTTTGCCCTTAGCATTGTAACAGCTCAGGCACTTCAGAAACAAATATACTGACCTAGTGCTTTAAATTCTGACTGACTTTTGCATATCAGGTAAACATGTTGGGATCAGGTAAATAATTTCATTTATGTGCCCTTTATCAGTGACAAGCCCCAGATGAATAATTTTTTATTTTATTTTATTTGTTTACAGTAAGATACCCAATAAACACATAGATATATACACTTCTGAGGGGGGAGGGGAGGGTGTTCTTGTGTATACATATGTACAAATGTAATACTGACATTTTTTACATGATACATAAATATATATTTTACATAGATTACATACCAATCTACATATATGTTGTATGTTTGTGTGTGCGTGTTTATAGTACATAGTAGAGATGCATATATTTCCATAAAGGTTACAGGGAGGAAAGTTCTTTTGCAGTGTTCAGTAACTGATTTCTCCTCTCAGGCTAGTCCAGTGATTCTCAACCAAGGTGCCATGGCACCCTGGGGTGCCTTGAGATCCTTTCAAGGGTGCTGCAAGTGCCATACAATATTAGCGCCCTAAGATGTTCAATACAATTCACAAGATAAACCCAGAGACTTACTCTAGGATTCCAAAGTGTTAAAAGCATCTTACAATCTTAACGAAGATAACCAGAGTTAAAGTTCAAAACATAAAAATGATTCAAGAATTTATTTTATATAGGCAAAATGGAACAAGCCTAGAAAAAAAAACTTTTGGCTCAACATTAGCAAAATTCTGACAATAAACTCCAAGGTGATATGAAATAGTCTCCCAAGTAAAATGGTTCAAGCCTCCTTTTTTGGGTACATTGGAAGACAATAATCTTCTACATGAAAAATAGAGAACAATCCTGCTTTGGCACAAAGCAAAATGGTCAGTGACCCTGGCAAATGCTAAAGCAATGCTGCAACTGGAATCAAAGGAATTTTATGCCCTGTCCCAAACCTCACACCTTCTGTCATGCCAGATGTGCATAGCAGGAGGTATTATGTTTTGGATGGGGCATAAAATTTCCCTATCATGCCACTGTAGAGCTTCCCCCAGTCTGGGGGAATCAAGCAAGGGATGGATCAGGCAAGGGGTAGCTCTGTTCCAGACCACAGGCTGCCCCCAGTCCTGAGCTAACCATTCCTCAATACAGTCCATCTTTCCCATATTTCAACATATTCTTTCTAGTTATAGTATACTTGTAAATCATTTTCAAAGAATAAAAATAGCAGCATAATTACAATGTAACCTAAACATTTGTTATATACCAAACATTCATTGCTCAAGCATAAAGAAGCATTTAAAAATATATAAGAATGTAAACTTATGGAATGTACTTATACTTATGGAAACCATGGGCTCCCTTTAGCTGCTGATATATTTATGAAACTATCTGCACATAGT